TCCCTAGAAAGCCTGCTCTCTTCTTTAGGGGAGGTGAAGTAGGGGATGGATCCAGGAGAAAGAGGAGGTGGGAGGGGAGACAGAGTGCGGGTAGGGAAAACCGCCTTCGAGATGTTATATCGCAGTATATAGCAGAAGATGGCCTTGTCGGGCATCAGTGGGAGGAGAGGCCCTTGGTCCTGTGAAAGCTCAAGGTCCCAGTGCAGGGGAATTCGAGGGCAAATTCGAGGGCGGGGAGGCAGGAGTGGGTGGGTGGGTGGGGGAACACCCTCATAGAAGCACGGGAGGGGGATAGAATAGGGGGTTTCTTGGGGAGGAGGAGAACCAGGAAAAGGGATAACATTTGAAATGTAAATAAAGAAAATATCCAATAAAAAATATCTGTACAGAATTAATATAAAATGACATACTAGAGAATGACAGGTGGATACTCACAGTGTCCTGAGAATTCTATATGACAGGAAATGTGAACTGGAAACCTAATCTCTGGATAAGAATGAGGAGGAGGGGCTCATGGGCTCACGCCCAGACAGGAAGCGGAAGCATTTCAGATGCTAGTATGCTTTCCTGAGGGGAGGAGGGCTCTGCATTTGAAGCCTAATTTTTCAAAATCGGCTATAAGCTTAGTTGGTGACAATTGAGAAAAGGAAACACACTTAATAATGCATTAGGTGACATTAAGAGATGATTGTTCATTTTTACAGTGTTGCAGTGTTAAAATGATCTTCTGGTTATACTTTTAAATCCTTCTTAGAGATATCTACTGAAATATTTATGGATGAAATAACTGGAGAGTAGGCCATGACTGGGAGACAGAAAGGAGATTGTATCCTATCAGGGAGTTAAACAACACAGCTCAGGCCTGAAGAATTTCTCACATCACAAAACAGACTCCTTTCTGGCCTGCCTGTGCACAGAACATCGAAATTAACTGTGTGACCAAGTACCACAGAGCCCGCAGATCTCCTGAGATCAATCAGGACGTCAGGACTGCCCTAAGATGCATGGTAGAATTATTGCTGGTAATTCCGATTGTAGTCGCCATGATCAGTTACTGCCTTTGCCCAGTTTTCTTGCAGTATACAAAACAAAAACACATGTAGTCTTTTTCTCCTCTGGTCTTACTTGGGTGAATTTTCACTACCCACCTGTAGGACAAGTAGGCTAGGGGACCAGACAGAAGAACTTGTAAGGTTGAGTAGGTCCAAATCCCAGGAAATCTCAAAATTGAGAACAGCAGGCATGGGGGCCAGTTCCCTGCCAAGCTCCACTTGTTCTGGAGCATGTAACCATGACACCCCACTGAGAGGGCCATGACCATCAGTCACATAGGGACAACACCTCAAGTCCTTCCCCATGCAAACAGAACATCTCTAACACCTCAGACTGAGCCAAGGGAAACATTTACCTCCAGATGCCACCCTACTCCCAAAATGTTTATAAGGTCCCTATCTACATGGAATAAAGTGCATGAGTTATTTCACCAAGATTCATCTGAAAGTGGCTGTTTCGTTGAGCTGTAACACTCTCACAAAGAGTTTTCTCTCGTGAAACATTCATTGCTGGAACTGGGATGGGGGCGGGAGGGGGTGCCGCTGAGGCTCCCAGCTTACTGTAGCTACATACTGTCTTTTGCTGTCAATCATAGAACCAGCTGTGGTTCTCGGTTGTTTGCTGCGGCTTGCTGCAGTCCGCTACCACTGCTGCCACTGGCTTTGACACTGCTATGGGCTTCCCTTAGGAGAGCTGTAACACTTTTGCCATTCTAGGCAGACCAGAGCCCGAGAGAACCTTTCATTCCATTCAGACCACAGATCCTCAGAATTTATCGCTTTTGGTCCCTCAGAGAAGGACACCTGGAGACCCCTATCATGGACTTCATTCTGCTTTCCCTGAGCCATAACACCCCCAGTGGCAAAGCAGACAGGCAGCCCGACACCCACCAATTCCCTGCCACAAGACTTTAGATTTACTCTAAATAAGAAAAATATGGGGACTGGAAAATTAGTTTCAAAGTTTACTAGCACTGATTGCTTTTCCAGAGGACACTAACCCTACTACCCACATGTAGGCTCACAGTCTTTTGTAACTTCGCTTCCTTGAGTACTGCCTGCACATGGCACACAGACATATATGCAACCTAAACACCTATACACATAACCTTTCTATTTAAAACACACACACACACACACACACAGATGAAAGTTTTACAAAGAGAGACATCCATGGTGTGATAGTATGTATATGCTTGGCCCAGGGAGTGACACTATTTAGACAGTCTCACTAAGTAGCCAGTCCTATTTTAGCTCGGCTTGACAAAAGTCAGAGTCATTTGGAAAAAAAATTAAACAGGACAAAAATTTCTCCATATAGCCAGGCGGTGGTGGTGCACGCCTTTAATTCTAGCACTTGGGAGGCAGAGGCAGGCGGACTTCTGAGTTTGAGGCCAGCCTGGTCTACAGAGTGAGTTCCAGGACAGCCGAAACTACACAGAGAAACCCTGTCTCGAAAAACAAAACAAAACAAACAAACAAACAAAATTCTCCATCTTGTGTCAGCTGAAGCCATCTTTGGTTTCTAACCCCTGCCCTGAAAAGTACCATGGGAAATCACCCAACCCTGTTCTAGAAACTCAGAATCAAAATGCCCCCAGCTAAGTATTTTCTTGGCTTCTGTTAAACTGCTTGCTTGCTTCACCCCTCAATTGCCAATCATGACATTGTTTCCTGTATCCTTTGTCTGTAGAAACTTCCTGTATGTGTTCTGGGCTGCTCTGTAAGAAGTGGTTTTCTCCAGGCAAGTATCAGCAGGCTCAATACAGACTCTCAATTTGAACTTCGTTCGGGCTGAGTGGTATTTGGGTCACACAAGAGGGACCTTCAATTTTTCTTAACTGATGATTGATGTGGGAGGACCCAGCTCAATGTGCACAGTGCCACCCTAGGGAACTATAGAGACAGGCTGAGCAAGTCATGAGGAGCAAGCAAGCCAGTGATCAGTGTCCCACCAAGGTTTCCTACGTTGATAAACTGTGATGTAGAAGTACAAGACTTGTAACACATAAAGTTCAAAAACCCTTTCCTCCCCCAGTTCCTTTTTTTTTTTTTTTTTTTTTTTTTGGTTTTTCGAGACAGGGTTTCTCTGTGTAGTTCTGGCTGTCCTAGAACTCACTCTGTAGACCAGGCTGGCCTCGAACTCAGAAATCTGCCTGCCTCTGCCTCCCAAGCGCTGGGATTAAAGGCGTGCGCCACCACTGCCCAGCCCTTCCCCAGTCCCTTATGGCCTTGTTTTGTTGTTTTTTGTTTTTTCTTTTATCATCTTTTTTTTTTTTATCTTGGCAATAGAAACTCTAAGAAAGCTCAAGTTGGCCTAGAACACCAGTTCTCCCGTCTTTACTTCCCTGATGCTGAGATCACATGTCTATGCCAAAATGCCCAGCACAGGATTTCCATGTTTTTTGTATGTCTGTTTTATTGTAAGGTATGAAGATCTCTACTTTATAACAAAGAGCTCTGGAGACTCAGAAAAGTAAAAGTGAGGCAGTTTACTTTATAATCTTGCACAGTCTGGTGCCAAATCAGACAAAAGCAGGGAACAAATTGAGCACAAAGAACAGTTTTTATAACCCAGAATGGAGGTCTCCTCCTCCTTTACCGCATTGGCTGAGTGTTCAGGGGTCAGGTGTTGTTGGGTAATCTGCTACTGACATTTGTCTGTTTCTCAACCCACATGATGTGTGGATTAATTTACATGTTTTATATCCTGCTTATTTTAAGGCTTCTTAGGACCATAAACCTTATGCCCAAAAGTCATCAGGCAAGCTTGATTCAGTCATTTTCTTCACTAAACTTTTGTGTTTGGGTGGTAGCAGCTAGGCTAGCCAAGGCCAGCAGAGCCCAGACTTAAGTGAGCTGGCTTAATTGTTCTGGGAATGGACCATTTTATTTTACTTCTTACATTTATCATCCTAAATGACAGAATTGATGAGCCAAATTTAATACTCACATATATTGTCCACTATTTCCTTTTTCATCCTTACAATAATCATGAGAGATTAAATACTCTGAAAGCAATATTTAACACATGTACAAACAAACACACTATTGTGATATTAGACTATTCTCAGATATAGTATTCTCAGACACGGATGATTCCTTTCAATAGTTAAGTTGTAATCCATGGCTAATATTATTCCTTTCTTCTAGACTTTGACAGCCATGTTTTTTTCCTGATTGACTCCCTGGAACTATTTTACTATTTAAAATTAGGTTTATAGGGATGGGTGCTATAGCTCAGCAGGTAAGACTTGTAACACATAAAGGTCAAAGGAGAGAATGGTCTCTATGAAGTTGTCGGCTGGTCTCCACATTTATGTGGCATGCATGTTCATACACACAACACACACACAAACACAATAATAAAATTGTTTTAAGATTAAAAAAATTAAACAGTCATAAGTTCAAAAATGGGACACTTAGTCCAATTTATAAATCTTAGTTTATTTCCAAATGAGGCAAATTTTAAAATCTACCTTAAGGTGGAGTGTTTGTTATTTGAGCCTTGGTCTCACTATGTGCTGCTGGCTTGAACCTTGCGTCCCCTTCCTCAGTCTCTTAAGTGTTACACAGATGTGTAACAATGTGTTCAGCTAACGTAGCCTTTTATTGATACTTGGTGACACTTGAAAACTTAGAGAAGTTCCGGTTAAATATCTGAATCAAATATAATCTTTTTAACACTGCTAACTAGCAGAAGTTATCCAAATGTTAAGAACAATATGAGTCTACAAAAATTATAACCCTCTTAATCATAAGCTCTCTCAAACAGTACTTATACCCTTTGTAAATACATCTTAATCTTCCCGATTAACTCTAAAATTTAAAACTCATTAATGCTTCTGATTTCAAACCATTAGACTAGTAGACTATCAGGACCTCTGATGAGCTACATTTTCTTAGCTACTATATAAAGACGGAAACATACAGAAATCAGTACCAAGGTAATTGTCAAATTATATGTTTTATTGAACATTCGTTATTTCCGTGTGTAAGGGGAAATGAGATCATCTTATCAGGCAGAAATATTGGGGCTATTACCAGAAGCAAGTCGATTTAACTGTACCAATGGTGCATAGTGTCTGTTCAGTGGCTGATGATAAACCCCAAACCACGGCACCCCTGAAACAGCTTTTCTTCAACACTGAGATAAACTGAGCTCCACACGTTCATCACTTTACAATTACACAGTAACTCCACTCTTCACACATCTGGCTATCTGACAGACTCCACTCCCTGGGTTCAAATCCCGAATCATCTAATAGTGTGGGTTGGCCTCAGTGAGTTCATGTATCCTTAGATCCTATTCTTTTCTCATCTTGCATTTATGATTTGACAGTTTCATACATGTATACAATGATCATATCTGCCCTCAGCTCTTCCCCCTTCCTGCTCAGCCTGACACCCACCCACTCCTTCCTGCTCCTTTGGAGGGTTAGTTGTTGCTTTGGTTTGGTTTCGGTAACCCGCTGAGTGTAAATAATGATGCCTTCTGGAATACTGACTGATCTCTTTGATGTTAGATCCAACCCTTTTGTCCCCAGACAGGGTCTCGTTATGTACTCTGCCTGATCTAGAACTTGCTGTATCGTTGTTATGTAGAACAGACTGACCTCAAACACACAGATATTTGCCTGTTTCTCCCGAGCTGGGATGACACAGCCCTCCCATGCTAAACCCTGTAGGTGCCACCTTGCCCAGCTAGATCCTACTTCTAACTGCTTTCATATTTCCCGCACTTACTTTGCTATGTACTTAAGACTTTGAATAATTTTTTTTGTTTTGCTACTTTTATTAGTCTTTCACTGAAACTTTTCTTCAGAATGTTACATGAGAAGAATAACTTAAGCAAAGACCATACTTCCTAGATCTCTAGAGTATGTTCTTTAACGTCTCCCTGTTCTTGGGTGGAAGGCCTTGGCCTGTGAAGGCTTGGTCTGCGATGATTTAGGTTGAGTGGGTCTCGGCTGAAAAGACTTAGATTGGGACTGATGGGGTTTAGGTGCTTTGAACTGAGTAGATTGGGATGGAGACGGCTTAGCTTGGGAGGACTGTGGATGAGTGGGTTTAGCTTGGGAGGACTGTGGATGAGTGGGTTTAGCTTGGGAGGACTGTGGATGCGTGGGTTTAGCATGAAAAGGCTGTGGATGAGTGGGGTTAGCATGGGAAGGCTGCACATGAGTGGGGTTAGCATGAGAGGGATTCTGATGAGAGGGTTTAGCATGGGAGGGATGGGGATGATGGGAGTTAGCTTGGGAGGTCTGGGAGTGAGTGGGTTTAGCATGGGAAGGCCGCACATGAGTGGGGTTTGCATGAGAGGGATTCAGATCAGAGGGTTTAGCATGGGAGGGATGGGTGTGAGACAATTTTTTCTGAGAAGGCACAGGCTGAAAGGGTTTAGGCTGGAAGTGTTTGCTCTGGAATTTGGATTGATGGCAGCTGGACTGGGAGGTAGATGAAAGTTTACTCCCAGATGTAGATTGAGACCCTGGTTTGAAAGCTAGATCCGAAGGCCTTCCCTGTGTTGTTTGTTGGACTCCTTGATGAGAAATGGGTATTATCCATTCTTGAATAGCTCCTGCTGGCTGGCAGGGCTGAGGGTGAGGATATTTAATATGCGATGGTATCTTTATAGATTTTCCAGCTGCTTTAGTCAGCTGTATCCCCTGGGCACAGGCTTTCTCAGGCTGTGGCTTCCCTGCTGCTTTAATTGCTTGTGAGGCAGGAGAATGCATGTGACCTACACGAGAAACCACTGTCCCAGATTTCTGAAGAGTTCTCTGCCTGCCCTCAGGATGGGACTGGACATGAGAAGTCTGTCTCTGTGATTTCCCAAATGGTCCATTCACGTGATACTGCTGAGGAGTTGCTGAGCATTTTGTGAATCTTCCCCTTGAATAAAATCTCCAGGGTTGGAAGGATTTAATACCAAAGTTTTGACCTCTGCTGTGAACACTTGTATTCTGATGGGGAAATGGAAAGAACCACTTAGCCCTCTGCTGTGATCTAAATTGGGAGCTTACAACCCAGGGGGCTCTCAAGGGAACATGGGAAAAGTTACTTCCAGCTTTAAGGGGCAAGGGCCATGGGTGTGCTGGATAAGGCATGAATACTGGTGTCTGATGGAAGATCAGAGCATTCTGACTGTCCTCACATTGGGTCCCAGGCTCTCTAATTGGCTTCTGAGCTTGGCTTTCAGGTGGGCTTTTTGTCTGACTAAGTGATTGTTGGTTCTCACCTTCAATTGTTCTGGAGGAAACTTGAGTATCTTGAGTCACTTCAAAGTCTTGGTCTACGTGAATCCCCAGCTCCCTTGCCAGAGAGGCCATATCTTCAAGGGACACACATCTGAGTGCAGAGGACATGACTTCCTGGAGGGCAGTTTGAAGGGTCTCCATAGTCTTCCTTCTATCCCCAGCTTCCTCTACTTCCCAAAACAGTAGCTGCGATGGCTTCAGTTTTAGGATCCTTTGGAAAATGTAAGCCTCTTCGCTCTCCTTGGCTTGGGGTCCGAGGATGAAGTAACATCTTTCAATGGCATCTTCTCCTAAAAACATTAGCAAGTCCCATTCCTTCTCACCAAGGCAGTCTGTGAAAAAGAACACCGCAGAGGAAACTTCCACCAGAAAACCAAATTGGATCCAAAAGCTTTCTAGATCTCCACGAAGGTTGGCCACAGCAACAGGTTTCTGGAAGACATGAGGGCTCCCCTTTAGCTCCTTGTTGTCAGGAAAACACCATGTCACTTCCACCAGGCCATCAGAAATTTGCCGAGGAAGCACAGGAACAGACAGATCCCGGTGGAGAAAAAATTTGTGTGGTTTCTGTTGGGAGGAGCTGAGCAGTGTGTTAAGAATTCTGGACTTGGAGAAGCTGCAGTGTCCTAGCCGCACAAAAGAGATGACAGGCATCTTCATGCGACTCACAAACGTGTCTGTTTCCCAGGGGGGCCCTCCTGAGGACTGCGTTGAGTGCTGCTTTAAGTCCTTCATAGCCCCCATCATTAAGATGCTTTTGTTGTTTTCTGGATCTGGCAGTAGCAGGGGAAGAGCAAACTGGCACTGGTACATGTTTGACATGACTTCACGTTGCAAAGAGCTGTCTGCACAGAGCATGCAGGCACAGAGGACATCCAGGGGATTGATGGTTTGTGTGTCTCCAATTCCTAACTTCTCTATTCCAGCCAGCAATTCTTCTGTGTTCTCTTCATCCACCACCTTGTGCCTAAGGATAAAATCTCTAGCTGTCAAGTCTAAAGCCTGAACTTTCATCAGGAAATTCCAAGCTAAGTCTCCTGGGGTCTCGGGCGTCCACTCACATCCTCGGTCTATGGAAAACTGCTTCACAAAATCTGGGAGAAGTTTTCTGCTTCTATCCATGTTCAGACAGGACAGGACATGTTGAAACACTCTCTTTCTTTCTGTAAAGCAGAAAGTACTCATTATTGCCTTGTTCCCTTCCCTTAAAAAAATACATAATTAGCCGGGCGGTGGTGGTGCACGCCTTTAATCTCAGCACTTGGGAGGCAGAGGCAGGCGGGTTTCTGAGTTCGAGGCCAGCCTGGTCTACAGAGTGAGTTCCAGGACAGCCAGAGCTATACAGAGAAACCCTGTCTCGAAAAACAAAAACAAACAAAAATAAATACATAATTGACAATTTTATTGACAAACCTTGAAACAATACAAAATGAAAGTCTCATTTCATCACCCTCTCTGCCCTGTTTTCCTTCTAAGAGACACAGTAATTTGGTGTAGTATGTGTCTTAGTTTGTTTTCTGTTGCTGTGATAAAAACAACAAGCAAAAACATCTTGGAAGGTAAAGGGGTTATTTCAACTTACATGTGCCAATCACAGTCTATCGTAAAAAGAACTTCACGACCTGAACTCAGGGAACCAGGAAGCACAGGCCACAGAGGAACACTCTGTACGAGCTTGCTCTCAGTGGCCTGTTCAACTCGCTTTCTTATACAACTCAAGGCCTAGGTGTGGCACTGCCCATGGTGGACTGGGCCCTTCCACACCAATCCTCAATCAAGAAAATGCCGCCTACAAATATGTATCTAGGCCAATTTTAAGGAGCCATTTTTTTCTCAGTAGGCAAAGGTATAAGTCCTGCAACTCTGAAGAGAAAGATTTCCCCAATACACGTGTTGCAGCTCTGAAGGGAGAGGTATACTGGCAGCCAGGAGCCAAGGAATACCATCAAGTCACACCTCACAACAATCCTCACACAAGAGGTGTATTTATTGGAAAGACACAAGAGGGTAGTTGCCTGTGCTCAGGTGAGAAGCTGCAGAGAACTGAGTGGGAGGCAAGCTGTATATAGGGTTTCTTGGAAGAAGAGTTTTCTGGATATTTCAAGGGTGGAGACTGGTGAGATTTCAAATGCTAAGCTTGAAGTAAGCTGAGGGACTGGTGGGTTTTCAAGCTCAGGAACTGACAGGTTTTACAACCCAGAAGCGAGCTTGGACTTTTTACCCTGTAACAGATGCTCAGTAAGCTTGACAAACTGAGCTCTGGCCCTTGGAGCCACATAGGAGAAGGCAAGAACCAACTCCCACAAGCTGTCCTCTAACCTCTCCATGCATGATACAGTGCACATGCTCACACACAGGCACGAAAAAATGTGATTAAGCAATCTCTCAAAATTTACATACTGCTTATCCCTTTTTGGAGAAGTCCTTACATTCTTGGGCATTTTCTTCACTTTCCCTCAATAAATCTGTATTTACTCTGCTTTTACAAAAAGTATATGTGTCTCTATTTTTTCTTTATCTCCCACTTTTAAATGTATTTTTCTAGTTGGTAGAAATAGCCTTGTAGTGAAAGGTCAGAGCAGGTCCTAGTCTTGACGGATGGCAGCTAGCACAAGATGGTTCATCTATTTTGCTTTATTGTTGTCAGGGGACTGGGGCATGTATGTGGGTCAGCGCCTCATGTAGCCCGGGACGACCTTGATCCTCCTGCCTCTAGCTCCCAAGTGCTGGGATTTACAGACACGTGGCACCATGCCCTGCATAACATCAGGTATAAGACTCCGTCTTGGGGTATAGTTTCTTTGGGACAGTGCTCACCTAAAGTATATGAAGCCATGTGTCTGATCCCCAGCACTTCAGAAAAACAAATAACCAGAAACAGGAGTAATAGTGTGTGCCAATAATCCCAATGTTTGGGAAGTAGATGTGTGAAGCCAGCCTGGGCTACATAAGATTCTACCTCAAAAAAAAAAAAAAAAGGCTCTTGAGCCATGTTTGGCAGAGCCCACCCCTGTCCTATGGAGTCTATTCTATATTTTTACTCTTACATTAAAAAAAAACTTTTTATGTTTATTTAGTGGTATATGTGTGTGTTTGTGTGTGTGTGTATGTGTGTGAATGTACGTGCCATGGCATGCATGTATATGATAGTCAAAGGACAACATTCAAGAGTTGGTTTACTTCAAGTCATCTTGCCTACTCTACTTTCATTTTTAACAAATCTATACTTTCAGTACTAAAAAAAGAGAGAAAGAAAGAAAGAAAGAAAGAAAGAAAGAAAGAAAGAAAGAAAGAAAGGAAGGAAGGAAGAAAGAAAGGAAGGAAGAAAGAAAGGAAAAAAGTTTGCACACACAGGTGTCTCTTTGTCAGAATGGTGATCTATGGACCAGATCCAGACATCCTGGGACCCTAACCGTACACTGTAAAGATCCTCTACTGATGATCTCCACTTCCATGGTTAAAACTAAAAATTACAGAACCCAATTTCTTTCTGGTTATAAAGCTGCTAAAATCTCTAAGCTGCCTTAAGCTGAAACAGAAGGTAATGTCGAAATGGCTACCAGCTGGAGATGGAGATCGTGCGGTAGGATGCTGGTCGGGCACGCACACGGTTTCCATCACTAGTGTGAAATAAAACCATGGATGGTGGATCATGCCTGCAATCCTAGAACTTCAGAGGCGAAGGCAGGAGGACCAGAAGCTCAAAGTAATCCTCAGGTTCATGATGATCTCAAGGCTAGCCTGGACATCTGGGGACTCGGTCTCTGGATCTGAAGCCCACTGTGTAGGAAGGTGTTTATGGCTGGAACTATGGACCTGGTCAAAAGCTCATAGCTGGGGAGAACATAGTACTCTGATGTGCTAAACGAACATGTTGTCAAACTGCCTCCTGACGTAGGTGTATAACCATACAGTAGTGTTAGCATCAGCCTTGGTCAGAAGCCTCCTTTTTTAGCAACTACTTAATCAGAATCCCACCGCTGGCCCAGGCATTGAGAATATGTGACTAGTAAGTGCTTAGAGAATATCCCTTCGATGTTTTCCAATGCACAGAGAACATCATGGAAGAAGGAACAGCTGGAGACAAGGGCCTTGAAAACACTGTCTGCAGGGCATGGGGTGGTCATTGCGCTCATGAACTCAGAGCCATCTGCACAGTGATGTGCCTGTTGGCATTATCAGGAGAGGCTGAGGGAAGCTATTGGCAGTTGGTGGCTGCTAAGTGGGGAATCTTTGGTATAGCACCAGCGAGCTGCCCATGTTCCAATGTTTAATGCACACTGGGGCCTAGAGGTGGCCCTGGACAACTCAATGGGTCACAAAACAAGAGGACCTGATAAAGGGCAGGAGACTTGCTGGGTACAGGAGAGGGTTGGGGGTATGTAATAATAGAAGGTGGTGAATGTGGCCAGAATACATAATCTTATACACATAAATGAAATTCTCAATGAACAAACTAATTAAAAACAGGGAAAAAAATGAATAAGGTACCCCCTACTGCATGATGGAAGTGACTACAGCAATCACTAAGCTGGTGACCACTGTTTACTTCTGCTTATATAGACAGCTTCCATATGCAAGACTCGGGATCTGCAACTCAAGAAGCTGCAGATCAAAAAGGTTTGGAAAAAATATTATGTTTGTTCTGAACACGATGACTTTTTTTTTCAGGGAAATAGTCATATTTCCCTGAAAAATAACTATTTACATAGAGTTTGTATTTTGTTAGTGTGAGGATTCTAGGAGCTTGGAGGAAGGAGGAGGAAGGGAGAGAAGACGGTTAGTGGGCACTGGAGTGCCATAGTTAAGAATAACTTCTAGGCCAGGGAGATGGCCCTGTGAGTAAAGGTACTTTCTGCCCAGACTGATGATCTGAGTTGGATTCCCAGGACTCACATAGAGAAAGGAGAAAACTCCTGAGAATTGTCCTCTAACCTCCAGACCCCTCCCAACATACACACGCACGAATGAATGAATGTAAAAGCTGAGTATGGGGCTGGAGAGATGGCTCAGTGGTTAAGAGCACTGACTGCTCTTCCAGAGGTCCTGGGTTTAATTCCCAGCAACCACATGGTGGCTAACAACCATCTTTAATGGGATCCAATGCCCTCTTCTGGTGTGTCTGAAGATGGCTACAGTGTACTCTCGAATGTAAAATCAATAAATAAATCTTTAAAAAAAAAGCTAGGTATGCATATAAAAAGGAAGAGTAACTTCTAATATTTTGTATCACAGTAAGACATCTTTGGCTGAGAACAATTAATTTTTCTAGATCAGCTAGCATAGAGAGCTATCTTATTTTCTGTTTGCTTTGAGATGGGACTTCATTAGCCCAGGCTGACATCAAATTCCCAGTCTTCCTTTCCCAGGGTCCCTACAGTGCTGGCATTACCTACATGCCCCCACACACCCAGTGGAAGGCTTCTGAATGTCCCCAAACAAATCATGTCTGGGGCCAGAGACATGCCAATTACCCTCTACTAATACACATTGTTCATAGTTATTGAGATGTTACACTTATACTCCACAGATACATGTAATTACTACATATCAGTTAAACGTAAAGCATAATGAAATATTAAAAGAATGTGTAGAGGTTATATACATGTATCAAGTCTCTTTCTTTCTTTCAATTTTTTTGAGACAGGTTTTCAGTCTTAGCCCTGACTAGCCTGGAACTCAGCATGTGCCTCAGATTAGTCTCAGATTTCCAGTGATCCTCTTGCCCCAGGCTCTGGGTGCTAGGGTTTCATGAGCCACCAGGCCTGGTTCACTATGCCATTTTAAATAAGGAGTTGGAGTATCCACAGATGTTGGTAGCCTTGAGGTGGTCCTCAAATCTGTTTCCCTTGGACACTGAATCTACCTACTGTACTGTCTCCCACTTCCGCAGACCTGGGAGCTCCTTCGTTCAATACCCTCCCCTGGAGAAAATCAACGTCACCCGGTTTCTGATTGGTTGATTTGGCCTATCATGTCCCCTCTCCACTATGTCATGGCACCTTCTTAGTCCATTGATAAGTTGCCTAATTAATTATACACGCTGTCTCCATACCTTCAGCGATTTTCTCCTCCTCTTCCAATGAGACGCTGGTCTCTGAAGCGTGGTCGCAGTTACTGTCTTCATCGGGGAATCCCATGGTTTCTTCATTCTCTTCATATTCCTCTTCATTATCATATACAAAGCACTGTGGGTCATCGCCGGCCCCTTCCTCCAAAACAGTCTCATCTTCAGGGTACCCAAGGTATTCTTGATGTTCCCCTTCTTCTAAGTAGAGCGAATCATCTGGCTCCTCGTATCTCTGCCCATCTCTTAAGAAGGTGATGCTCGACGGAACTTCATACTCAACTCGTTTGACTGAACGTGAAGTAGTGACTTGCGGTGTACCACACCCTTCCTTGGTCTCCCAAGAGGATACTGCCGGTTCCCCGTGGTCACTTTCCTTGTGGGTGAAGAACTCCGGAGCTCGGAGACCGAGACTTTCTTTCTCTTCTGAGAGCTCTGCTATCTCGGCATTCTCCGGGGTTATCGTCCCAAGACAAAAGGGATCTTCTGAATCCCTGCTCACCCCCACAGTCTCTTTAGTCCCCAGCCATGGAACTTCTGAAAAGACAGCATTTCATTATTGCCTCTGCTTTTCCAATGTAACTATTTTAAATTACCTGATGTCTCTCATCTTCAAAGCATCACCCTTTCGTTTTATTTCCTTTTCTTCCTTTCTTTCAGACAAAAGTTGCTGTCTGTGTTGATGGGCTGGCCCAAACTCTTGAGCTCTTGCCTCAGTCCTCCTCACTAGCTGAGACTACAGGAATGCAACCCATCTCTCTTCTGTGGACGATTCATCGAATGCCTACTACATTTAACCAGTAGTAATGCAGCCCGCAGTCAAATTTTCTTTCTTTTTTTTTTTAAGATTTATGTATTTATTTTATGTATATGAGTGCTGTAGCTACATGTATACCTGCATGCGAGGAGAAGGAGATCTCACTATTGATGGTTTGGGAGCCACCACATGGTTGCTGGGAATTGAACTCAGGACCTCTGGAAGAGCAGCCAGTGCTCTTAACCACTGAGCCATCTCTCCAGCCCCCAAATTTTCTTTCTAAGGAAATCTGATCCCAGTAATTCCTAATGAGTGAGACAATTACTGTATTCTAGATATAGTAAGAGCTATTTTTCTAGAATTATGAGACTTGTGAAGGTTAGTTTTAACTGTCAGCACAACTTAGAATCACAAGGGAAGAGAGTCTCAGGTGAGGAGTTTTCTGCACTGATTTGGCCATTGGGCATGGCTATGAGATGCGGGACTGCTTCAAATTAAGTGTTGTGGGAAGAAGACCCAGGCTAGCCACTGTGGGTGGTAGTAAGCCCTAGGCAGGGGTCGGAACTGTATGAGGTACAGAAACAAAGCTGAGCACAAGGAAGCAGGCAAGCATTTTTTTTTTTTGTCTCTGCTCTTGACTATAGAAATGATGTCTCTAGTGCTGTGTCAGGCCTCTGCCTCTATGACTTCTCCCACAGTGATGAACTATAACCTGTAATTATAAACTAATAATGAACCCACAAACACTGCTTGTTTGTCAGACTACAGAGACTGGAAAGGAAACTAGAAGAAGACCTGCCTTACATTAAGGATCATGAGCACACGCTGTTTTAATTCAAACCCCTATCTTCCTATCATCCCTTAAAAAAAAAAAAAAAACCTTTTTATTTTTAAAGGAGCTACAGCTCCCTCTAGTGATCATTTCCTGAACTGCTAAACAATACAGTAGAATAGGTGCCCCCTCCCCCCAGGTCATGAGTTATCTTTTGCAGCATGTTATTTTTTAAGATGCTATAAATTTGTATTAGTTCTTACTAATCATACAGTTCATCGTGGCATTCTCTCTGCCTCTGTCTGTCTCTGTTTTTCTCCCTCTGTCTGCTCTCTCTCTCTCTCTCCTCCAGCTAGTCTGTTTATTCCCAAAAGATGTTCTCTCCTACTTCCTTGTCATACATATTTAATATGCGTATATAGAAATGTAGGTTCTGCATATGAAATTTAAAAAGGAGACCAAGCAAAGGTGATATTAGATGACAAGAAGGACAGAATACAGGTGAAAGGGCATATGAGTCATGAAAGAAGATATAAAGCTATTTTTTATTTAAAAAATTTTTTCATACTATTTTTTTCTGAGAGGGATTATGGTAGGAAAAGTATAGTCAATATATTATATTTTTAAAAATCTACTTCCCCCTCCCCCTACTTTGAACGCCATCATAGTTTCTTCCCCCTCTTTTTATGGGGATAAGTAAATCAAAATGTAATTAGAAGTCGAAGACTAAAACCCTGAGTGAAGTTCCCTGGCTTCGTGGTCATTCTAACTGTATAGACGTTCACAGCAATGGATAAAGTTTGGGACTGGACAAGCTTTGGAGTGACTTCCTTAAACTGGCTGTGCTCTATTTGTGAACTAATTAAAACAAACAGAATTTTTTTTTCAGTCTTTCATATGATTTTATTTTCTCCCTTCAACCATAATAATATGATATCCAAATTTTGTCTTAACTGGTGGGTCTGTAAACACAGGCTTATCCATCCCACTGACAGGCAAGGCAAATGCTGCTTCTTGAAATGGACCCACCATGGATCCTCTGGTCATCCAACCCAAGTCACCCCCTTGTCTGGCTTTATCTTCACTATATTGTGTGGCCACTTCACTGAATCTCATCCCAGACTTTAACTTTTCCATGGCTTCCATGATTTTCCCATGTTTTTCACATAGAATATGTCTGACCTTTACTGCACTGCCACCACCTTTAGGACCCTGAGACTTCTTATCAGCACTGTCACTCCCAGAGGCTGAACCTCCTTTCCCTCCTTTTCCAGAACCACTTTTCCCTTTCAGCGGCATCTCCTAAGCTTGCGGTTGAACTCTCCGGCCAATTGTTCCGGTGTTAGCAAAGCCCCCTTCAGGCCCCACAGGTATGTCCTAAGCAATCCAGAATTTTTTAAGAAAGAAAAACAACTCTATTTTATAAAGTATCAATTTCAAGACCTTAAAACCTTTATTATTAATCAAATGGAGAAACTACACTTCTAGAAACTACTGTTCTTATCACAGACAACAGGAAGCTACTGCTCTTCCAACTGGATCATTTAAAATTGTTTTCCTTGTACCTTCAAAGTGGCTATCGAAAGGAAAGGTCTAAGGTCTCTGGGGATGTAAACATCTCCAAATCTATTCACACAAACAGGAAAGAAAGCCCTAGAAGGTGCCATTATCAACAATGTGCTCTTTCCAAGTCCCTGCCAAAGCAACAGGCATCGATCGGATGGTAGCTCAAAAGCAGCTGGAATCGGGTGGTCAGCCATTACCAGGCTCCTGAATCCCTGAGATCCACTGTTCCCTGCTTTAGAAACTACACACTTTCGGTTTCACATTTCAGTAAAAATCGTCACAGGAAGTCAAATCCAAACAACAGGTAACAATTCTTTTTCTCTTCTAGAAAACCTGCTTCTTCCCTCTTTGCTTCAAAATTGAAAAAATTCCACTTACCGTGCTTTAAGCCCAAGGTGGAAGCTGACGCTGGAAAGGCATTAGACAGACACTTGAGGAAACAGCAGCAGCTGGCCTCTCCTTTCTTCTGTATCAAAATTAACAGCTTCCGACTTTTCTTCAGGGGATCTGTAATTTCCTCTAGAGTCTCATACTCCTCTTCAGAAATCAGTCTCCGAGAGGTTAACGTGTCCAAGATAGAGTCAGGATCTTGTTGGAGGACATTGAGCAACTTTGTTCGTTGTTTTTCTATGATCTCTGAGGAAGCACCCTCTGTAGCCATTGCCTCCTGCAAACCAGGAAAGAGATAAAGTCGTTCTGGCACATGTAAAGAAATCTATGTTAACAAAGAAAGACAGAAATCCGGTTTAGTAAAGAGAAATCATGTCCAAAATACCTGCTGTTGGAGAGGGCAGAGAGGAACAAACACAGGAAGGGAAGTCAGCCTGAAGCAAACACTGTTTGTGGTTTCCTGTTGCTGGTCCTTTATCTATTCTGCTGTGTGTGTGTGTGTGTGTGTGTGTGTGTGTGTGTGTGTGTGTGTGAAAGCATTTGCTTAGGACAGAAACCAAGGTCTCACGCTGTTCTGCTACTGATCTGTATCCTGAACCTGATGGCTAGGCTAAACTTCACTAATACCAAGCAGTGGGTGGAACATGCCACAAAGGGTGGCACACACCTATGATCCCAGCATTCAGAAGGCAGAGGCAGGAAAATCAGAATCATTGTAATTTCAGGGCTGGCTAGTCCACACAGTGTGTTCTAGGCCATCCAGGACCACACAGTTAGTACCTCTCTCAATAAAACAAGACAAGAGATGAACTGAGCCTGGGGACTTCCTTCAGGAAGTTTCCCTTGAACTTCGAATTGGGTTAGACATTCCTGCTCTGGGCCCTATACTGTGATGTTATGAGTTTAAATCAACTGATTTGTGGAGAGTAACCTTCAAAATGCAAGTAAAAAATAGAGTTAGATAAAAATTTTAAATGTATAACCTTCACTGTAGCAATCCCTCTTTTGGACATTTAGGAGCTGGAGAGATGGCTTAACAGGAAGAACACTTGTTGCTCCTACAGAAGACCCAGCATTCACAGTTCCCAGCATTCACAAGGTGATAGCTCATAACCACCCATAAATCCAGTTCCAAGACATCCAACTTCCTTTCTTCACACACATGGTACACATCTATACATACAAACAAAAAATTCATATATATAACAAAAATTAAATCTAAAAATATTTAAAGAAGATATTAGATACATGCCAAAAAATATACATATAAAATATCTATTCCAAATGTATAATAGCAGAACAGCAAAAATGACCTTAATTTCCATAAATCAGAGATCTGTGAAATAAATGATAACAGGGAAATCCCAAAGAACTATTAAACTGTTAAAAGATTTTACTAATTTGTGACACATCCTGTGGCTGCTCAGAATTGAACCCTGATTCCCTGGGAGAGTGGCCAGTGTTCTTAACTGCTGGGCCATCTCTCCAGCCTCCTGCTAGACTGTTTAAAGGGATAAAGTAGAACCTGACAAGCACATTATATTATTTTGGAAAATAGCCCAAGTTACCAATCCCATTTAAAAAAAAAAACAAACTGGGCAAGATAATACACGCCTTTAAGTCCAGCTTTTGGAGGCAAAGCCAGGTGGATCTCTGGGAGGCAGTGGCAGGTAGTTCAAGGCCAGCCTGGTCTACATAGAGACAAACAAACAACAAAAACAAAGCAGTATATAAGCTAGGTGTGGTAGTATACGCCTTTAACCTCTGGGGAGGCAGAAATAGAGGGACCTCTGCGAATTGGAGTCTGCTCTCCATACCAAGTTTCAGGCTGACTAGAGGAGTATAGTGAGACCCTGTCTCAGACAAACAAAACAAAACCAGTATGTGCACAGCACACGCCTAATACACATACAGCAAATATTTTTATAAGAGGATAATCAAGACAGACAGTCCAGATTTTAATACTGGCTACTTCTGAGGATCAGATTATGAATGGGTTTATATTTTGTACTTTAAACACTAATACATTTTAGGGCTAGAGAGAAGGCTCAACTTGCTGTTCCTGCAGAGGACCTTGGTTCGATTCCTGGCACCCTCGTTATGACTCATACACCCAGCAGTAACTGCACTTCCAGGAAGTCCAGTGCCCTCTTCTGAATTCTTCTGGCACCAGGCATGCATGTGGTACACATATGTACATAGAGGTAAAACACTCAGGCACATAAAATAAGATTTTAATTTACATTAATTTTTTTGAGACAGGATCTTTCTAATGTAGCCCTGCTGTCCAGGAACTCATGATGTAGACCAGGCTAGCCTGAAACTTACAAAGACACACTTACCTCTGCCTCCCAAGTTTCTGAAATTAAAGGCATGTGCCACAACACACAGAAAAAATTTTAAGTGTTTTTACTAGCAGACATTTTCTCATTTTTATTAAAATTATATACTTGGTCTTTAATAATAATTACATAGTTCACTAGAACCTGAAAACAACCTAAATATCAGTATGAAAATAATCTGCAGAATTTCATTACTACTATTTTTTAAGATTTATTTTTATTAGGGCCAGAAGGTGGTAGTCTGCTAGTAAAAACACTTAAATTTTTTTCTGTGTGTTGTGGCACACGCCTTTAATCCCAGCACTTGGGAGGCAGAGGCAGACAAATTTCTGAGTTGGAAGCTAGCCTGGGATATGGGGTGAGTTCCAGGACAGCCAGGACTATACAGAAAAACAGTCACAAGAAACAAAAACAAAACTAAACAAACAAACAAACAAACAAGATCTATTTTTATTTGTGTCTGTCTGTCATATGTGTGCAGGTATACCCTCTGTCTGTCTGTCTGTCTGTCTGTTTGTCTGTCATATGTGTGCAGGTACATCCAAGGCCAGAAGGCACTAGATCCATGGAGTTTTAGGTAGTTATAAGTTGCCTACTGTGGGTGTTGAGAATCAAACTTGGATCCTCTGGAAGAGGAACAACTGAACTTAATTGCTGAGCTATCTCTCCACCCCTTTATTTAATATATTATATAGCATTCTACAGGAAAAAATTTCAATACCATACAATATAGAAAAATCATTAAAGAATATGAAGGAAAAAGTAAAGGTCCCCAAAGGATCATGTTCAGCATGACATCCTTTTAAAAATTAAAATTGAATATATATATATATATATATATATATATATATATATGTATCTCACATTCATGTATGTGTAAGTGCACGTACACACATGCACACACACACACTTACATGTCATGAAGTCATTAAGATATTATTAGATGGGCAAAATAGGCAAGATACAGGGGAGTGTAGAACAGAAGGATTGACTACTTGAGTCTAACAACTGTAGGCCAGGCTGGCCCACTTCAGAAAAACCCACCACCATTAAAGGCATGGTGGCCCACACCTTTAATCCCAGCACTTGGGAGGCAAAGGCAGGCAGATTGCTATGTATTGAAGGCTACCCTAGTCTACACAGCAACTTCCTAGCGCATGAAGGGTACACAGTGAGATCTCGTGTCAAACCCTCATGGGGAGAAACAGCAACACACAAACATATGCAAAGAAATAATGAATATCAAGTTCAGAATTATATTTATTCAAGTGGGGGGGATGGGACAGGTAGAAAATGGGAGGAGTAGTGGAGCCTAGGTAGTTTGATGCAAGGATAGGTTACTGTTATCAGAAAGAAATGGTGTGTAAATAAAGGCAAGCCATTAACGGACCAATGCTAAGAATGCATTTGTAATTAAAGATGTTACTTCTCTGTCTCTGTACCAGAGGTTACATAAGGAACTTGAAAATCTTTACCTAAGATTTATTTTTAGGCATGAAACCCTTTTCCTCAAAGAACCTTTTCATTTTTTAAAGTTTTATTTGGTTGACAATTTATAATTTAATGTTATATACACTTACAGATCCATGATGATGTTTGATCTATAAACACACAATGTAGGCAGACTGAATCAAGGTAATTAACATATCCAACACCTTGCTTATTTATTCTTCTTGTCTAGCTGCATGGTTGGGTCCTCTTACTGCTCTTCAGTTTCTGATGCTCACAAGTTTAGTGAAGAGGTTTCGTTGCTTTGTGTCTTAGGCAGTGTTTCATTGCTGTGTAGAGACACCATGACCACAGCAACTCTTTTATAAAAGAAAGCATTTAATTGGGACTTGCAGCTTCAGAAGTTTAGTCTATTGTCAACGTGGAGGGGAACACGGCGGCATGCAGGCAGTCATGGTGCTAAAGCAGCTGAGAGTTCTAGAGCCAGATCTGCAAGTAGCATAAGAGATACTGGGTCTAGCTTGGGTTTTTGAAACCCCAAATCCCCCAAATCCCCAGTGACACACTTCTTCCAACAAAGGCTACACCTCCCAATCTCTCTTAAGTAGTGTCGTGCTCTCTGAAGACAAAACACTCAAATATGATGGTGATGCCCTATTACTGAAGACAGCACTTACTATTGCTATCAGACATAGAGAAGTCGAGCTGGTGCCCAACCAGAAGCTTCACCCCTACTGACTAACATTTGTGGTACTGGATGCACTTTGCACATGGGTAGAGGTGAGAGCTATCATCAACACCACAGTAACTTGCTGAAGAGATATACTGGTACAATAGTGGCATACATAGAGGTGTAACCAAATTTCTGGTGGGATTTTATTGATACCATGAGACGGTACCAACACCTGACACTGCATGGGAGGCCAAGAATCTGAGACTAGATAGGTCACAGGCTTAGGGGAAAATCTATTACTTTTATTCTGCTAAAAGATTATAGGAATGTAATGGTTCCTAATGACACATTGCTACACTCATAGATGAGTGCCTGGCTCAACCCACATCAGAGAAACTTCTTGGTGTAGTTGGGAACGAACAGAAACCCACAGCTAGACAGTGTGCAAAGAATGAGAGATTTTGGAGCACACCATTCTAAATGGGGTGTCTTCATCATACTCCTCCCTACTTTCAAGGCTCGGGGACCTATCTGGAAGGAGAGATGAAAAGATCTCAAGTACCAGAAGGGATGGATGACTCCGAGGAAGCAGTGTCTTTCAGATACAATAGGACTGATGCATGTGTGAACTCACAGAGGCTGGGGCAGAACCTACAAGACTTGCACAGGTTCAAGTCAGACAGGGGTCCTAGCACCGAGAGAGGGAAGTGGACATTGCTAGCAAAGGGAACAATCGGTTTTCTCCAATAGAGTCTCACTGGGTATACCAACAACATTTCAGGGCTGGCCAGTGCCCAGGAGGGCTTTGGATCTTTTATTTGTTTGTTTTGATTTTCATTTTTGTGTTTTTGTAGCAGGAGTTGGGGGGGTAGATGAGGGTGTTGTTTCTTGTTTGTTCTTTGTTTTAAAAGAGAGAAAAAGAGCATAAAGTTGGATGGGTAGGGAGTTGGGGAAAATATGGGAGAAATTGGAGGAGGAGAAAAACAGGATCAAAAGATATCACATTAAAATATTTTTCAGTTAAAAAATGTATTTCTTCAAAAAGGAAGGAGGAGGAAGACAAAGATCCTGATCT